TTTGCATCAAAATGGGCTTAGATGGAAACGAATTTACGTCCCATCAAATAGTACCCACCCACTTTAAGTGAAGATATCTTTCACTAAAAGGCTTCTTAAGATCAAGAGAAAGATGGTTTAGGTTCGCAAGACCTAAAGCTATAACTTTTGTTGAATAGGTTTTTGCTAAAAATTGCTTAAAATCCCTTGGACTCTTAAGCTCTCTCTCCAACCATGGTCACGACTCCAAGAAAAAGAAATTCCGTGGGTGCCTTAACGAAGAATAGAATGACCAATTATGTATTCAAAAATATCACTACAGTTACTTAACTTTACAACTTTTTGACTCTAACACCTTAACTTGATTCCTATTGGTTCTTTTTCTTCACACACACTTTGTCATCATATAATACAACATTCTAGATCCTTTCTAAGTGGCATAACCGACTTACATATTGATGGATGACTAGAATTGCTTACTTGTCCTTTTGACACCTTTTGAACATTCAAACTTATCATTCATTGGTCCATTTGTTCAAGACTAGTCAAACTTAATTCTAATTGGTTGGTCTTCATTTAAATTTGACCTTCTTGAATATAAAACATACAAGTCACAAAGAAATCACTCATGCATAAAAAATCATGCAAAGAATTCACAAAGTTAAGTTATGTTACTAACTTGACAACTTCGTATACATCTTTGACTTAAATCAAATTCCATTTGTTTATTAATTTCCATACTTTGACCTATTTTTAGAAATTAATCTAGACATTGTTTGATCATAATAAGATCACTTTAAACTCATGAAATTAACTATAGAATTTAATTACATCGCCGAAATCAACCTTTGACCTAACCTTGGTCAAATACCAAACTAATCCTGACTTTTCACATAATGACATCTATGTCCACACATATACCTTATACTTATATTAGGGTCCTATTAGACTTGTCTGACATGAATTATATCCTTGTATATCTTGTCATCTTATTTCATGATCAATGAACCATTACTTGTCACAATTTTCTTGAATACAACTACTTGATCCCTTGTAAACTTGATTTGATCTTTTGAACACTTGCTTAATTTTCTTGTTTAACCTAACTTGATATTGAGGGTTGTTATAGCAAGCCCCTTCTTCATTCTTGTTTCTTCTCTCTTCCTTCTTTTTCCGCCTTCTTCTTTCCACACCTTCCTTTCTCTCTTTATTTATTCTTCTCATGTTGTCTTTTTTTATTTTTTATTTATCTTTCAAGGGACTTTTTCCACTCTTCTTATCCCTTTTTTCCCTATGTACTTTCATATTAATTATACTTAAGTCCCAAAAATATTTTAAATATGATTTAAAATTATAATTACCAAAACAATTAATCTAAAGCATTATTTAAATACCATGTTGGCAATTCTAGGTATTATTCATAATTCATATAAATTAGGTGTGATATGGAATGATTAAAAAATATATGGGTCAAAACGTAAATTTCAATATTTGAGGAATTGAAATGCAATTTCATCAATATATTCATAGGTCAGAAAAATTAAATAAAAATATTATGAAGAACCTAATGAAATTTTACATTTAACAATATGCTTGATTAAATTATTAAAAGTAACTAGATATAAGATTTCAAGATGTATCAACGTGGCAATGACTTGTACGGATAAATTATAATTTTGGTTCTTATACATCATTAATTTGTTCCTGGAAATAACACTGATTTTCAAGTTGGTAAAAAAACTTCAAATCGAGTGTAAAGGTTGATATGTGGTTTGCTCATGGAGCAAAAGCAGAATTACATGTGGATTGGGAGTTCTTCTTATCTTGTACCATGATTCAAAGGGTTGTCCTATATTAGTGTCTTTGGATGTTTTTTTTTCTCCTAAAAAAGTTATTTCTTTTCAAAAATAAAAAATATTTTAGAATAATTTTAGGAAAACGTATTTGGCCTCCTATACCATGAATCGATGTTGTTTTGATTTATAATTGATAATTGATGTTTTTTTTATATTTTTTTATATTTTTTCTTCTACACTTTCTCTTTCTTTCTAATTTTATGGAAGAGAAAAAAAAGTAAAAAATCACTAATTATGAAGCAAAACGACATTGTTTCATCTAAAATGACACAAAATTGTGTCCTTTAAAATGAAAAATATTTTCTCATAATTTTATGTATTTGGATCAGTGTTAATAAAACCGACTCGGCCTAGAAACTGACCCATTAACCGATCCGATTCATACAATGGATGGACATGTCATCGGCCCGGTATCAACCAGGGGAACCGGTGATAAACCGCGGTTCAACCGATACCAATTTTCTTCATCAAATCGATTTTTGAAAATGCATGCAAAATAATCCACATTTTTGCAAAATGAGTTGTTAGTTAAAATGCACTATTTAATATAGGGAAAAATATTTTTCCAAGTCACTGGAGATAAAGTTATATCCAGTGATAGGGGTGTTCGCGGTCTGGATTGGATTGGTTTTGGAAGCAAAACTCATCCGATCCAACCCCTTCGGTTTGATCATGTAATCATCCATTCGGTTTAGATTTTTTTTCAAATCCGATCCGATCCAATCCAATTTTTTTCGGTTTGGATTGGATCGGTTTTCGATTTTTTGAATATACTAAAATTAGTTTCATGATTATTGTGCAAATAACATCTTTTGTATATATTGGCTTTGTAAAAAAAAATATTTGAAATACAAAAATATCAGTAAACAATATTATAGTTGATGAGACGTGACTAAATTTTTTTTTGGGTTTAGTTGATGAGTTAATGGGTCTTGAGTTTAGAAATTTTTGGGCTATGATTGGAGAAAGGACAAGTAGGTAGAGGATAATTAATATATTGGATCGGTTTGGATTGGATCGGTTTTCATCAACCTATCCGAAAACCGATCCAATCCAATTAAAATTTGCGGTTTTCTTTTGGTTTCCGATTTTTCGGTTTTCCGTTTATTCGGTTATCGGTTTTTCGGTTCGATTTTTGCGGTTTGAATCGGTTTGGATCGGTTGATGAACACCCCTATCCAGTGAGCCCAAAACGATATCGTTTTGGGTTGTAAGATTAAAAAATTAATATGATAAAGACTAATATAATCCTGCAATATATTAACATTATAAAAATATTTGATTTCCGCCTCAAAGTCAAACCATTGTCATGAGGTTGAAACAACCTACTACTTAGTGCTGGGCTACATTGAATTATTGGTTAAAGTTCAGCATTTAAAATTTTTATTATATAATTGATTATAAAATTGAATTTATATACATCTATCCGGATCATATAGTTCAACCAGTGACCAACCGACTCAGTATCCCGACTGAGTCGATTACCGATCCGGATTTAATAACATTTGAATAACAACTTTTTAAAAAGAAGCATTTAAATAAATTAAAATTGATTTTTATTACCAAAAGAAAAATTGTTTTTATTCTTTTTAAAAATTAAGATTCTTTGATTTTAAAAAAACATACTTTAAAAGTTAAATATTTTTTTTTAAAAATTTAATTTTTCCCCAACCCACTCTAATCATTCCAGCCCACTACGACCTCATATAAAACTTTTTGAACCATGATATAAGATATACAAGTACTTATTTAAAATTAATAAAAATCCTACACTTTTGTATAAAAATTGCTATTAAATAAATAAAAAAATATTCAAACGTTAAAATTAATAAATATTTTCATATATAAAACATCTTTTCTAAAAACTCATGATTGGCGTTAGTGATGTCATCACCGCACTAGTGGTGTGCGGGCCAAAATATTTTTCCACCACTCAAAAATGGCGATATTCTTGAATGTCATTTTGTCTTAAAAAATGTTCACAAATCAAAATACTTAAAAATCAGATTTCCAAATTTTTTTTCAAAATCCTTGTACCAATATGAGTATATAAGATTCCCAATATCACTTTCACTAAAATTTAAAACCCACAGATTACCAAAAAAAAAAAAAAAAAAAAAAAACATGCAATATTTTTTCCTGGCAAATGGACGAAAATCTTTTTAAAGCAAAAGATTGAATTAAAAATGTGAAAAATATTTCTCATTTTAAAAGACACAAATTTGTATCATTTTAAATGAAATTACAGTGTTTTGATCTGTTTTTACTTTCTTTCCTCTTCATAATACTCTCATTTTTTCTTTTATTCTAATTTTGTGGAGGAAAAATAATATAAAAAAACCACTAAATATATACCAAAACATTATAATATCACTTAAAATGTTATAAATTTGTGTATTTTAAGATAACAAATATTTTTCTCTTAAAAAACAACAAGGGTGAAACATAAAACTTGATTAAACGAAGCCTAATAAATTTTCTTTAGTAGAAAACCGAGATAAACTTAAGGCTATATAAAATCAAGTGTTTGTTTACCCAAAAAAATAAAATAAAATAAATCAAGTGTTATTGCTTGTTGTATTATGTAGGGTTAGAGTTGTTGTATGGGGTTTACTTCCGTCGTGTTACCAGAAAAAAAAGCAATATTTCCTATAGACTCATGAGTTTGGTGGTGCTCACAATTTTTTTTATTTTTTATTTTAAAAAAGAAGTGCTCAAAAATCGAAGTATCAGTGGGAAAATGATTTTCTTTTTCCTGTAACATAAGATATACATTTCCCTTGTTGTATTATATAGGGGAATGAAACAAACAAACAAACACAACACAACAATATAGCATTTAACGGAAAAATAAAATAAAATAAAATAAAATGATGGTTGCCAATGCCAGCGCGACATAAATGGGTCCAAAAGCTTTCACCAAAGAAATAAATAAATGGGTCCACACTGCACACTGAACAAACTGTTTCCGTTCCTTCTCCTTCAAAATTCCCGAACCTCCAAAGTCGCTCTCTTCTCTCTTCTTTCTCGGCCATGGACGACCAAGGTACCAGCAAGAATAACCACAACCACAATCACAACCACGGTGGCACCGTGGCTAACAACAACAACAACAACAACAATGGCTACGTCGACACCTCCAAGGCGGAGAGAGCCGTGTGGCTGATGAAGTGCCCGCCCATCGTGTCTCGCAGCCTCTGTGCGCCACCCTCCGACCCCTCGCGTCCCGTCGCCAAGGTCGTCGTCTCTATCGACCCTCTCAACTCCAACGACAATGACGATTCTCCTCCCCAGGTTGCCGTTTCAACACCGCATTGTGTCGTTTCGTTAGATATTCACTCACTCTATGCTCTTCCCTTGATATCCGTTTCGCATTTCTTGATGCCGTTCTTGTGTCTTGAGTTTTCGTTTTCTTTTTCTTTTCTTTTTTTCTTTTTTATAATAAAAGTCATTTTATTTTCATTATCTGAACAAATTATTATATCTTTTCCTCTCTCTCTGTTCTAAATTTTCATCTTTTTCTCATTGTTGTCTTATATGGACTTCTTTTATTCCCTTTTAAATTTTGTATATGTATGCTTTTCTCATTTGCTTTTCAGTAAAGAACACTCAGGTTCACTGTGAGTTCCATAAATGTGTAGATAATTCAAAACATAATTGAAAATTATAAATATGTGCATATTATATGTGTTTTGTTGACTGTAATCAGTAGTAGACACCTCTCTCTGCTTTTAATTGAGGACACGTCTTGCCTAAATGTTTGATTCCTTTACGTATGTTTTCTTTTCTTCACTGAAGCCAATGATTGTGGACCCAAATTTATAAATTATAGTGGAAAGGTTCCATTTAAATTTTCAAATATTAAATTTACGGAACAAGAATTCTTATATAGTTCTAAATTTCCCATTCTTTTGCATTATTGGTTATTGAGGAGAGATATAGCCGATACCATTGGGTGATGACAATTTGTTTCTTTCGGTTACTCACATATTACTGACAACAGAATCAGTTTTTGTGATTATTGAGGTTACAGTGGATAGCCTTAAATCTTTCGGTCATTGGATAGCCATATATATATCTCTGGCTCATTGTTCTTAATACGATCTAGTTATTGAGCAATTGAGCAATGAAAGAATCTGACACTCAATTTTTATTGAATCCAATGACAAATGCTAAGGCTCTACTTAATTGGGTAGGTGGAAAGTGAAGTGGAAGGTGAATGAAAATCACTTTACACGTTCTTGGGTGTAAAAAAGGAAAAATGAAAGCGGAAAATAAAATGTTATTCATTTTTACTCTAGGCCATAACTTTGGTTGTTAATAGCAAACATACATGCAACAACCATGTATGCCCTATGTCTGTGTTTTGAAATTTGCTTCACTTCTTGAACTGCTTTGGAAGTTGCTTTGTCCTTTTATTTAGGAAAGGGATATACTGTGTTTCCTGTGAAAATAATTATTTTGATTGTAGTTATTAGTGACACTTTTCCCTGTATTGTTTGTCCTTTTAAATTGATTGTTTAGTTAAAATGCTCAGTTTACTATGGAGTTGGCTGGAACTGAAGCTGGACATATACCCAGATGTTATGCTATGGATATGTCTAAAGACTTCATTCCTATGTCTGTGTTTTCAGACACACAAGGTAAAACATTCATCCTTCAGTGACCACATGTATTGAATTTTTTTTGACTTGATTATAACTTTGGTGGTTACTTAAGCTGTTAATATACAGCTCAGATACACTCTGAGCTGTATATTACTTTCATATCATCACCTAGTAATGTTTATGTCCCTATAATTTGCTCATATTCTGCTCTCATTAAATTATCTTCAATTTCAAGCAGTGAAGTGAATTGAGGGTGGTGTTCCTTCATTAAAAAGAAGAAGAAGGAAACGGAGGTGTTTATTTTTTAAAAATGTAGGTTGAAATAAATGGACCCCATGTATCAGCTATGAATAATATCTTTGCAAAAATCAGAAGATTCAAAGAAACATGTCCATTTTTTATTTTATTAATTATGAATTTCACTTTCCAATACTTGAGTTATTCTGTTTTAACAAACCATGCAATTTTGAAATTGAACCTGTAATTAATCATTTGATGCAAAATGAACACAGTTGTTTGAAGGGAGAATCACAGGGCTGTTTATTTATATTAGCTGTAAAATATGGAGTAAGGTCTCCATTCGTCCATCCTTGACTAAGTGAAACAATAGCTTGATAGTTGTTTTTTCCTTACTCCTTAGGAAATCTGGGGCATCATTTATTGATGATGGAGATCGTAATAAAAGGTTTTATTATGCCATTGTCCTTTGGGTGATAGATAGGTACGCCAAACTATACAGAAGGTTAAGTCTTGCATGAAGAGTGTGATTTACTGACTGAAATTTTGACAGTCTTCTTTATATTTCTAACTTCCCAAAACAAATCGAACACCTGATATCCAATGTATACAACACCAGCTAACAATATTAACAACAAAATATATAATTCAGACTTAGAAACTTAATACAACCCAAAAGATATCACTAACAATTTCCCATATCTACAGAATGCTTATAGTTCCAAAACAAACAAAGGACTCCTATCCAAAATGAGGGCTACCAAAATATGCTATAAAAAATCTGCAATTCTTAGCAGCCTGCTACTCAGCTACTTGATGATCTGGATGGTAAAATAAAATAAGGTAAGTCACATAGACTCAATGAGGGCATAATAATCACAATGAACAATAAGGGGAAACAAGATACGTACAAGTGTTTTTAGCCTTTTGAAAACTTAGCTATAAACATATTTGAATAGTGAAAGTAAATTATATAAATAAAGAATTTTTAAAATAATGAAATGAGTATTTACAAGGAAAAATAAAATCGTAAGTTTAATGTGATGGAGATCACACATGATAGAATCGAGCACTGACAGCTCCACCTCGCTGATAGTCCTCTCCTAAGGGTGGCCTTTCCCTAGGGGTGACTCCATCTAATGGGAAGCCTTTTCCTTTCTTAAATCAAATCATATCGTAACATCTTATCAGGGGCGGCTTCATTTCACTAATGACCTTTTCCTCCAAGAGGTGGCCTCTCTCTTAAGGTGGCTCCATCTAATTGATAACATTCTCCTCCAATAATAAATATCCATATACAACTAGTTCCACTTAAACTGTTACCCTCGCTAACGGTTATGGGATTCTTAAATGGATCCCGAAGAAAACATATAAAAAAATTATCTTAACAAAGAAATATTTGATTCAAATCAATTCATTTCCATTGATAAGTAAAATTCTCAAATCTCATTAGTTTAAATCAAATATTTCATATTCAAATTATATCCAACATTTATAAAATAATTATAAATGTTACAATTCATAAATGACATTTACAACTAGGTGTACCTAGACCTTAGCCCTGATATCATCCAATTTTAAGGGTGCATGTGAGGAAACATTGTAGGGGAATAATCATTATACTGACTCAAGTTAGTTATAAAGAATATTATAGATAGGAGGTGTGGAGTGTCATGTGCATTGGAATAGTATTGGGGGGTAGTTTATGTATTGGTAGTCAGTTATAAGGAGCAGGGGAGTGTGTGGGAGGTGATCTTAGCATGTGGGAAACCTTGGCTCCAAATTGGTGTCAGAGCTTCGATCTAGGAGCTATGGTATCAGGTTAAAAAATTATGGTTCCAAAGTTTTATGCAGATGGAGATGATGTCTGGGGGTTGCTAATCCATCTGAAGCAATATTTTCAGAACTAGAAAACTCAAGAAGAAGAGAAGATAATGGAGGCTGAGGAAGGGCTTATAGGTTTTGCATCCAATTGGTTACAAATACTGGAATTGGCTCAATCCTTATGCAACCTTGAGGAAATTTGAGGAAGCTTTCATAGAAAAATATCTTCCTGAGATTTTTTTGGTAGAAGATGAAGAATCGGAACCTCAAAGCCAGAATCTGAAAATCAACGAATTTCTATGTTGGAGAAGGAAAGTGACGTCAAAGATAAACTGGTGTGAGCAAAACTAGTTTCGATTTTACAATGGCCAACAAAAAAGAAGGGAGGAGAGGAAAATCAAGGACTCATGAATAAGGATTTAGAAGAAGGGCCTATGGAGTCACTACGGCTCCCAATGGTGGTGGTTGATCTTCCACCCTTACCAGAACCAATGGATTTGCATTGTCATAAGAAAGAATAGTAGGAACGTTCGTCTAATGGCATTGGACGAGGTCATCTATTTACGCATAATGAGAAAGAAGTAGTTCAGATTATGGAGGCGGATCTAGAATCTCCACAACCAAAAACAAAGTCATCAAGAAGTTCTTTGTTGGAGAAATCAAAAACTATGGAAGAAAATGAGACCAAGACAATGTTAGGAGAGTCAAAAGTTGTGGAGGAAGAAGAGGCTCAAAGGATCTGTGACTCAACAACGACGAACATGGGTTAAACGCAAATGCTTTTGTTAGGGAAGAGATCCTTGAATATGTTATAGATCCAATAAGCTTGACTCGTATTACCTTCAATCCAACTCGCAAAATACTTTAGGATTAAGCTGGTAAGCCCAAGGTGCTAACTTACTTAACTAGCCCCAAAACACCTGCTTTATTCCTATCAAAGGCTGATCATAACATCACTTTACTAATGAAATCACTTACAGGGAGCTTCATATTTTACGAAAACAAACCAATCACCTCATTATTTCCTAACCTGGAGCAATTGATCAGCATTGTAGTTCTGATTTGAGATACCTTGGGTCTGCAGGTGATAAAACATGGATGGATGTTTTTTTCCAATCGCCCGAAGCTTTCACTCCTTCACCTGGCTGATGTGTCCTAGTTTATTGACAGGAAGGGCGACGAGGGTTCCACGCGAGAGAGCATAAGGATCATTCATACGATGCTAGCTGTGTTGTCATATGGGTTTTTTATTTCTGAAGAGCATTCACTGGTTGTTTGTAAAAATGTTCTAAAGATTATAGGATATGTTTTTATACCACGTGATGTAGAGGCTTTTTCAAGGATATATGCTAGGGTAAGGAATCTAAATGCATTATATTTTGAAAGTCTAATGGCATATGACAATGTTGTTTCAGCCCTTGGCAAAATATATCAGTTTTGCGGTGATTGTCTAAATGCAACTCAGGTTAACCCTTTTAATCTAAATTGCTTACCTATAAAAGATGATTCAATTGAGGTAGTGTCGATTGGAATCAACAAAGGGAGACTTCATTCTATTTTTGCTCACGCTAATCCAAAAATGTTTTCCTCTAGACATGTTGGTAAGGAATACATTACAAAACAGCTACCTGCATTATGGATTTTTGCTCTTGATCGATGGTCATATGGGTCTAGGTCAACATTTGTAAGTTTGACCTAGATGTAAGTAAGTACAAGGACTCCACTTATGGCTTGGAGGTCTGTTCTTAGGTTTCTTTTAATGACTTTCTTTGCTGCCAATGGTGAACTGAATTGCACAATTTCACATATGATTTGACTATCTATATATGTTATTCTTTTGAGGTGATACTTCATGTTGGGTATTCATTACTCTCAGACAATATCCATGTTGGATCTAGGTCAAAAGTTGGTGCTTGTGTGACTATTGGAATTTTGTATTTTATGAAGCAAGAATTGTGTTCAGTCCAAACTATTTCTTTAAAAAGCCTCCAATATGTGTTAGCAAGGAACATGAAGAGACAAGTCCAATGTTCACTCAAGTTCTTTAGGTGATAATTAATGCTGATGAAGCAAATAACGAGGCATTGTCATTTCTTCAGCAAGATATTGGTGTTCTTTTTTACTTGCTTCATGTTATCAAAGTATTAGTTGAGTTTCTCTTGGACATGACCTTTATATGGTCAAATAAAATGCCATGTACAAGAAATGAAGATTTGCAATGGGATCCTGGTAAAGGTTATACATTGGGCATAAGCTATCAAGTTAGATGCATAATTGGGTCCCTACAATTTAAGCGATGGGATCCCAGAGGAGAGTCTTTCACTGGTTGCTTACACCTTGAGGACAAGGTGTTTATTTTGGGGTGGAGTATTGGTACGATCCCAATTTTAATGTTGCATGTGAGGAAACATTGTAGGGGAATAATCATTCTACTAACTTAAGTTAGTTATAAAGAATATTCTAGATAGAAGGTGTGAAATGTCATATGCATTGGTATAATATTAGGGGGTAGCTGATGTATTAGTAGTCAGTTATAAGGAGTAGGGGAGTGTGTGGGAGGGGATCTTGGCATGTGGAAAACCTTGGCTGGACAACTAGATTGGGCTAGAGAAATCCAGATTTGGGAGAGTTCCTGTGTAATCTTTCCTTCTATGTGGTTTAGTTATTCCCCTGTATTTTTCAACTTATGGTGTCATTTCTCATAGTTGTTGTTGCTGAAAAACCTAGAAAACCCACAAATAAATACATTATGCATTTATTTGTGTCTTATTTCCCTTCGTTGCGTTGCGTTGTCTTTTACTGGCTAACAGTTACAGGATTCTAATATGGATCCGAAAGAAAATATAAAAACATATCTTAACAAAACAACATTTGATTCAAATCAATTCATTTCCATTGATAAGTAAAATTTTCAAATCTCATTATTTCAAATATAATATTTCATATTAATATTATATTCAACATTTATAAAATAATTATAAATGTCACAAATCATAAATATGATACTATTATATGAAAATCTCTATCATGTACAATTAAAATGCATAACTTTGACCAATCACATTATGTAGTATCTATTTTCCATGCATATGTTGTCAAGAAATAATGATATAATAAATCTTGAAAGATAATAATAAGGATAAAATATGTTATCATAATTATTATCCACTCACATCTCTAAAGAACCAACTAAAGCACTTTGAATGGCTCTAGGTAAGCAAATGAATGATATAATAAATCTTGAAAGATAATAATAAGGATAAAATATGTTATCATAATTATTATCCACTCACAGCTCTAAGGAACCAACTAAAGCACTTCGAATTGTAACAATGCTTTAGAAATTATTAAAGGATAACTAAACAAATAAGTGACAAGGATGTTAGAAGCAAACCCTAGGTTTATGCTCAAAGCTCAAAATACATTTACCTAAAACAAACCTATGCAAAGGTGTAAATTTTCTCAAAGCCATGGATAATGGGTTTACTTCAAAGAGTAAAATAAACCAATATTTGAGGTGTGGTTGCACCCTTCCTCCTAATAGCACCTTCCTCAACTCTAAAGTCATCCAAAATCTACCTCCAAAGGAAAAAAAAAATGGTAAAGCTTCAAAGTTTCATCAAGCTTTCAAAGGACCTTGAGATTTGGTGAAAGAGGAAGCAAATGAAAAGGAAGAAAGAAGACATGGTGAAGAGAAATGGAAGAGGAATGGTGGACTATTATGCCTGTACTTTGAACTATAATATGCGTTTCATCTTTTGTGAAGAATTCTTCTATTTCTTTGAACTTTTATCCTTTCTGAAACCTTAATGACAAAGAAGCTTTGGAAGTGGAGTCTATTCTTGGTTTCCTTGCCTTTTTTGGTCCCATTTCTTCAAAGGATGCTAGGATTTGGACTATGGACTTCTTTGCTATTGCCTCTTTTCGAAATATAGATAATATTTTATTTTAATTTATTATATTTGTTATTTTTCTTTAGGGTGAGTTGTAGAGTTGTCCCCACTCGTTTATTTTGATGTTATGTTTCTTAGTCTTTCTTGTTCAAACTTGTTGCTTATGATCTATACGCTCCATCTTGAGGGGGAGTGTTGGAAAGAATATCTTTAGAAAATCTTTATTATTTGTAAAGATCTATTTCCTTATTTTATTAGGATTTAGGTTAAGTTTGGGCTAAGTCCATTAGTATTTCTTTATATATTGTACTCTCTTGAATCAATTCAATATACAGATGTATTATATGTTCCTCTCGTCTCTTGTTATTTTACAGCCTCTTTAGTGGGATCAAGTGATATTCTTATCTTCTTTGTGATCCTTAGCAAATGATTATTTCTGGGGGCATCTTTGTTGGATACTCAGAGAGACTGGCGAGTTCTGTTTAATTGATGTGCTTTCCTTGTTCATGTATATTTATTTATTTCTTCGTTTCTATGATATATTTTTCTCTGACCTTGTTTTACTTGATATCTATGATATCTTGTACTTGTAGGAAAGATCTCTGTGGAGGGAAAAATACTGAACAAGTTTGACATGAAGCCCCATAATCAAAGCCTTGAACTCTATGGGAAACTCTGCCGTGAAAGGACAAATAAATATATGGTCAAAAGTAGACAGATTCAGGTTCTTATGGCTCTTATTCTCATAACATTGATCCAATGATTTGGAAAACGTTTCCTTTACATTTTGACTTCTCCTCAATTCTATTTTCAGGTTATTGACAATGATAGTGGGGCTCATATGAGGCCAATGCCAGGGATGATCAGTTTTTTGGCTCCTGGACCCAGTGTAAATGGCCTATTCTTCCTCTTGTTACCAATTCCAGTCCTCAATGATTGCATGCCAAGTGAAACTTCCCTTCTTATAGCATCGTGTGCAGCATCAGATCATATTTTTCCCTATTTCTTTTTTTGGTTAATGAGATAAAAATGAGAGCTAAGATTCCCTATATAAAAATACTGAGGAGCCCATGCATTAGCAATGTATAGCTGTGAGAAGGAGAAGGGGATGAAGAGGTGGAGTTGAGGACTTTATTTTACTAGACTTATGCAGTTCAATGCATATTTTTTAATTAATCTATACTTTAGATGTAACGGAAATTCTGTATTTGATGTAACAGAATTTCTGTATTGCATTAGGATAAGAAGAAAACTCCGGCCAGAGGAACAGATACGAAGAGAACAAGAAGAGACCGTGGTGAGATGGAAGAGATTGTGTTTAAGCTATTTGAACGGCAGTCAAATTGGAGTTTAAGAAACCTCATACAAGAAACCGACCAACCTGAAGTACGTGCTTTGAGTAATATCTTTGTCTTAAAATCCAGCTATAGTTTATGGGATATTACTTTCTGATATTTTGCGGGGTTTCATTGAACATTTGGTACTCACGTGAACCTTAAGCACTATATGCAAAACATGAAAGGTTGATGCTTCTAGCAGATATGCATGTATGGTGGATGCTCAGATCCATCTGATATAATATATGTTATTGAACTAATATATATATATATATACAAGATAGAATGACAAGTTCAAATAAGTTGTATATATCATTTTCAGAGGAGTTTTTGGAGATTTATAACTGGATCATTTATGTTTTTGTATAGATATTAGGTATTTACATAATTTCACTCTGGTTAATGGGTAAGTCTCTCACAAGCACACCAATGGTTATGTAACATTATATCTCTTCACCTGACGTTTATTTGTATTTGAAATTATTCTTATTTCGTTTTATTAGTGCCTGTTTTAACTAATGTGTTGGATCTAACACCTTTTCTGCAGCAATTTTTGAAAGATATACTAAAAGACCTTTGTGTCTACAATAACAAAGGAACTAATCAAGGCACGTATGAACTGAAGCCCGAATACAGAAAATCTGGCGATTAAGCAACTTCCAAATAGGCTTTATTTTTGCTGGTCAATTTGTTAACTCCCTTCCCCTATTATATAGGTTGCTCATTTCATTTTTTTATATATATTTTTTTTAATTTCAAGTTGCAAAATGGAGAGGCATGTTCGCGTTAGACTAAGATTTTAATTTCAGCTTTCTGTTTTCAATGAGCATAGAGTTTGAGTGAATCATTACCCTTGCAGATATTCATCTTTCTCTTTGGCTTCCGTATGCACATGGTTTTGAAGATATTGCTACATCATATACTACTTTTTCTTCGTTAAAAGCAGCACTAGAATCACTTTGGAATGAGTTAGCATGTGATAGCAAAATTAACAAAATTATATTGTGAATTTGTGGGAAAGTTGAAGGTGGCAATTTGCACAAAAAGGGGGTTGAATTGTGCTATTTTGAATTTCCAGAATTCTTTCTGAAACTTAAATAAATTTAACAAGTATGAAACCTTGATAGTGGAGAGAATGGATTAGTAAGTAATTTAGAAAATTACTTGGTTCCAAATGAACTTAAATACCCTAACAACTTAAACAATTCGTAAGGTAACAGAAAATTTCAAAAAGTAAAAAAAAAAAAAAAAAAAAAAATGTTAAAAGAGAAACTATAAGAGGAATTATACTTGCCTTGACTAAAATCAGGTGCCTACGTTCAGGCCTCAATATATTGTAAGATTTTTATAACTTGTGTAGTCTTTCTTCATCTCTAACCTTTCCTAAGTAATTTTCACGCCTGGCCTGTTCAAGCTTACTCCGAGAGCACATAAATTACTACTGTATAAAGGTATGTAAGACTTGTCCCAACTTGTAATTAATTGGGATAGTTCATACTTCCAATTGTTCTTCTTAATTGACTAGATTCCGAATATTTTTTTTTTTTTTTTTGAAATAGAAGTATGTCAGACATTATCTGATATTTTAGAATTTTAAGATGTCAGACAATATTTTAAAATAGTTTTTTTTGGCAACTAGTGATGTATAATAAAACTTCTTAAATTAATACTTTTTGTATAATATGATAATATATTCATATTGATCTGATTTGTTTGGAAATAAACATCGTAAAACAATTAGCTTACTTTCCTACTTTTAACATTTTTTGACTAAATTATGTATAATGTCTAAATTTATACATTTTATCTAAATAATCAAATCAACCTAGCCTTTGTTGGGAGAAAATTTTAAGCGATCCCGCCTCACGTAACTCTCAGTGGTCCACCCAATCAAAATGTTACATAGATTTATTAATCCACGTCATTGTAGTAGGTGGCTTTTACTTTTTTTATTCATTAATATTATTTCATTTCATTTCCTTCCTTCTCTTCCATTTTTTTCACTCCTGTCTCACCTCTGCAAATGAAGTTTTTGATTTCTTTCTCTTCTCTCTCATTGTTTTCTATACCCTTCCAAAGCTTCCAAGGAGTTCTTCAGAATCTCATCATTGTTAGCTGAAATCTTTTTTCTCATTCGTCAGAGCCTTTCCCGTTATCGATTTACCATAATATTTTGAAACAGAGTTTCCATTACTGATTTATATAACACCTCATATATTTGAAACACTTAATTATAGTTAAAATAAGGATTAAAAGGTAGGATTAGTGAAATTCATGTGTTCTGGGTCAAAATATGTAAAAAGGGTAAAACGATAATTTAACAAATACGTAACCCTAAATAGTAAAATGTTAGTAGAAGGTCTCAAATGGGAAAATAACATTGGAAATGGATTCAGAACGAAAAATTGAGTGGTTAGGCAAGTTTCTGGAAATTTGATGAATAGTATTTTTACACGATGAAAATACAGTAGTACAGTTGCACCAAAAAATGTATCGAGTGAAATTTGAGCTATAGGTTTAAATATAAGTTGGAAAAGGTACTTAGGATTAAGAAATATGATTGTTGATGAAATTTAGGATTTTTTAGGAAACGTGCCAACGGTGCACAGATCAGGCTAAAACAGTGATTTCACCAAATGACCGAAAAACTCCGGATTCATCTGTTCAAGGGAAATTAAAGGACTTTGGTGAATATTAAATTTTGAATTTTATGGATAGTTTATGAATTAAGTGGGAGATTTGAAATAATTTGAATTGAGTGATGTGTCAAGTGGGACCCACCTAACTTAAGCAACTTAAGCCACATGTGCTTGGCACAATTCAAGCACCTTCTTCCTCCCTCTTCCTCTCTAAAACCCAAGCTTCATCCACCAACGGGGGAAAATTTTGCTTCCTTGATTTCTCCATCAAATCTTCACCAAAACTACACTTATCCTACATGAAACTTCAAGTAAAAGACGCAACAAACCTAACCCACACCTCCATTACTCTTGAAAAACCCTAGATTTTGAGAAAAAAACCCTACCCATTCCCACAAAAATTTGGAGTCTTGGCCACCATTGGAGCTTGTTGCTTGAGCCATTGCTTGTGTATTGTTCTTAGGAGTCTTGGGCCTTGATTCTTGGTAAGTTTCACCACCTATTGTTGATTAATTTGTGAGATCAAATTTCAAGACCTAAATTTATGTGTATCTTGATTGATGTAGTTGGGGAACTCCATTGAATTTTTTGCATTAGATAAATGTGTCTTAGAATAATGAATTAGAGTAATTGAATTCATAAAAATTATTGAGAAAAAGTTTGTAACTTAGTGGAAATTAGGGGTGTTCGCGATCTGGATTGGATCGGTTTTAGAAGCAAAAATATCCAATCCAATCCCTTCGGTTTGATCATGTAATCATCCATTCGGTTTGAATGTTTTTTCAAATCTGATCCGATCCAATCCAATATTTTTCGGTTTGGATTGGATCAGTTTGGATTTTTTGAAAATCCTAAAATTTATTTCATGATTATTGTGCAAATATCTTTTGTATAGATTGACTTTGTATTTCTTTTTTGAAATACAAAAGCCGAATACAAAGATACTTATAAATATATTAAGGGTTTTTTTCTAAAGTTACTTTAGATAACTTTATCTAATGTTCACCAAAACGACGTCGCTTTAGGACAGAAATCATGGTGTTTTTGTAATTTTAATTTATTTAAGGGTTATAATAGTCTTTATCATTTTAATTTTTTAATTTTTCAACCCCAAAACGACGTAGTTTCGATGAACATTAGGCAAAGTTATCTAAAGTAACATTAGATATTTTTTTCCCATATATTAATGTATTATTAATTTATATATATTTTTTATATTTACATTTCTTATGTTTTTTTATTTGGAATTTCATTTTTTTATGAATAGCTAAAATAGAATAGATAATCTAGTTATCTAGATATATCAAGTCTTAAATAAAAACTAATAAATGATAATATAATTTTTTTTGAGTAATGAGATATGGAGCTCTACATAGATGAAATTTTGTTGATGAGATGTGATTAGGCTTTTTCTTAGGTTTAGTTGATGGGTTAATGGGTTTTGAATTTTGAAATTTTTGAGCAATGATTGGGGAAAGACCCAAGTAGGTATAGGAAAATTAATATATTGGATCGGTTTGGATTGGATCGATTTTCATCAACCCATCCGAAAACTGATCCAATCCAATTAAAATTGGCGATTTTTTTAGTTTTTGCTTTTTCGGTTTTCGATTTTAATCAGTTTTTGGTTTTTCGGTTCGGTCACTCGATTTGAATCGGTTGATGGACACCCTTAATGGAAATTTTGATGATGAGCTTATGATTTTGTGAAATTGGATTGTTGTATGATTGAGAAATTGGGTTGTGGATTAGTTGTAGTAGTTAATTATATGATATATGGTACATTGGATGTGTGAAAAGTGAATAGGTAATCCTTGGTATTTGGCTATGTACAATTCGACCAAGTTAGGTAAATTAGGAAAAGATGATGCAATAACTGTGTAATTGAACTTGTGATGATTTGAATCAAGTATAATTGGGTTGTATGAGTGTGTGATGCTTGGAGTTTGTGAGAAAAATCCCTAGCCATTTGGTTGTCAAGGATTCAACCATATAGGGTAATTGAGGAGAAAATTGTGCTAAGTATGATTAAATGCAATTGTGAGCTTGATATAGTGTTGGGGTTGTGCAAGTAAACCATTGGAAGGGTTATATAAAATTAACAACAAGAAACTTGTCAAACTGGCCTTTTTGGCCGAATTGGTTGTATGTGGGGGGGGGGGGGGGAGTTCATTGTCTTGAAATATGACTTGTATGACAAGTGGATTGATGATCTTATGTGTGATCATTGTAGGTTGCCTCCCACGGGCGTGATTGATAAACCCTTGGTTTACCTTGGTTTTAGGCCTTATTATACTTGAAATACATCATGAATTGCATGGAAATTAGGGTTTTACACCATAAAGTCACAAGAATTGAATATCTTGCTAACATCTTGTAATATTTCTTATTTCAAGGGATTTTAACATCCATCGAGGCTTTTTGGAGCCAAAAGAATGCAACAAGATGAGTTCAAGCCTCAAAGAAGCAAGATTCCAAGCATGTGTAAGATGGAAGAGGACGTTTTGGCGTTCAAAGATGAACATTAAAACACTCTAAACGAAGAAAACAATAAGAAATCACTGGAGTAGAGAGTTTTGGCGGCCAAACATAGCGCCAAAACGCTCTAGAAGCAACAAGTTACCCTTCGAAGAGGGCGTTTTGGCGCCCAATAGCACGCCAAAATGCCCAGAGGCAGACAGTAGTGAAAAGAATTTAAAGACTCCCGTAGGTCCTATTGACGTTCTCGACAGCAGTGAAAAGAAGCTTAGAAGAAAAGTTATTCCAATGTTAAAGATTCTGTGGGAAGGACGTACACCTGAGGAGTCTACTTGGGAATGGGAGGATGAGATTCTCCGGCTGTATCCTGAGTTAGCGGACAAGTATGATTTAATTTTGCGGACAAAATTCTAAAAGGTGGGGTGATTATAACACCTCGCAATTCTAAATTAAGTATTAAAATATTAAATGAGTAATTAAGTGAAGGATTAGTGAAAATCCTGAAGATTAGGCCAAAATACAAAGAAAGGTCAAAACGGTAATTAGCCAACATACAACCCTAGGAAGATAAAAATTG